ATATGTAAATTGTTTTGAGCAGTATTGCCATTTTAATAATATTGATTCTTTCTATGCATTTATCTTGGAATGTTTTTCCACTTGTTTCTGTTGTCTCTAATTTCTTTCAGAAGTGTTTTTTTTTTAATTCTTGTTATAGAGATCCTTCACTTCCCTGGTTAGCTGTATTCCTAGGTATTTTACTTTTTGTATCTATTGTGAGTTGCAGTCTCAGTTTGGCTCTCAGTTTGGATGCAATTGATTCCTAGAAATGTTACTGATTTTTGTATATTGATTATGTATTCTGGACCTTTGGTAAAAGTTTTTTTTTTTTTTTTATCAGATCTAGAAGACTTTGGGCAGAGACTATGGAGTTTACTTTGTATAAGACTGTACCTCCTACAAAATGAGTTTTCCCCTCTCTTCCTATTTTGATGCCTTTCATATTTTTGAAAGGCATATGTTTTGAAACAATTTATGAGTTCACAGAGTTCACAGGAAGTTTCAAAGGTACGTACGTGGAGGCCTTATGTACGCTTAAACCAGTCTCTCCCAATAGTAAAATCTTCAGTACACTAACACATTACACTTTCAAAACTAGAACATTGATATGGATGCAATCCAGAGCTTTTTAAGATTCAACCCTTTTATTTTGGCTTTTCCAGGCACTTTCTATTTCCATATGAATATTATAATTATCTTGTCAATTTCTATTAAAAGGTCTTTTTAGAATTTTGATTAAAATTTAGTTGAATCTAGAGATGAATTTGGAAATAACTGCCATTTTACAATATTAAATATTCCAAACAAAAATCAAAGTATACATCACGATTTTTTCTTATGTCATTAATTTATCATTGTAATTTTTTTGTAGCTTTAAGTGCACAAGTCATTTACATCTTTGTTCAGATTTATCCCTAAGCCTTTAATATTTTAGTGGTATTTTAGATTGCACTGTTCTTAGCTTCAAATTTCAGTTGTTGAAATTCACTTCCAGTCCACACTAGGACTACCACTGGCTGAAACATTGTCTCTTCTAATATATAAACTTCTAATAGATAAACATACAATTGATTTGTGTGTCAATAGCTTACTCTGCAATCTTGCTAACCTGAATTATTATAGAAGCATGCTTTTATATTGACTTTTCTACTTCCACTCTCATGTAGTATTTGACAAATGATACTTTTACTTTTCCCCATCCAATCTGAATACAGTTTTTTTGCACTGAACACAATCTCCAGTACAAAGTAAAATTATGTCCACAATGGTAAACATGTTGGTGTTAGATTGTAGTATCCTGCATATAAACACTCAGAACAGCTTCCAGCACTTGAATATCTATTCCTCCCCCCACCACACATACTGGTAGAATTCTTGTTGTAATACTACACTTACTATGAACATACACCCTTCATGTGAAACAAGACTAGCATGCACAGTAAAGGATATTTATTCAGTAAAGTTCTGACAGACTGAAAGCCATCATTTCAGATTGTAAATAGGACACTTAAATGAACTACATGGACACTGGGTAAAAGTATCGGTGAAAATTTGCCTGACAGTAGCCTAAAAGTAAATGGTATTCAAGGTGCATATGAAGGAACTATAGGAGGGAAATGGGATAATTCACATCTCCACCAATAATGTAGCCACACTAGCTTGATGGGACTTCAGGTGAGACATCTAAAATACCAGGTCATGGTGGGGGCTGGAAGAAAAAAAAATGGATCACTTAATAGGAATGGCTGTGGGAAGAGCTTGAAGGAATCATCCTCTCACTTGATGTGAACCATGAACATTAAACATGGAGACATGAGGAGCAGCAGTAGATCAGTTTGGAACGCATCTTCAGGGGATGCTGAAATAACAGCATCATTTGATTTTCTCTACAACTCTTTCATCCTTTCCCCCCAAGCCCAGGAAGTTGTCAGGGGTGGTAATTTGTGATGTCAAAGCCATCCTAGGACTGCCATTGGCCGGGACACTGCCTGTATGATCAAACAAAGCTCAAGGGTGTGGCTTTGCCTTGTCACCAGGAGGGTATATATAGGGAGGGCAGGAGCTCTGGGACAACCCACTGGCAAGCTTCAATACAGCTGTGGATGTCTGTACTCTAGAAGAGGCTAGTATAGACATTCTAGAACCAGCCATAATTATGGAAGATCCAACTTCAAGCACCAAGGGAGAGAATAAAAACTCTTCCTCTGAATCCAACACCAAAGAAAATAATGAGGTAAGATTGTTAGGATTTGAAGGGAAGGCTAGGGTGAAAGAAAGACACATAGAGAGGGGGTGGCTTAAAATAGCAGCACAGGAATATTGTAGACACCTGTGGAAGTAGGGGGCCAGCTTAAGGCCAGAGCCCACCTCTGCTTACAGGCTGGGGTACCTATAGGCATGGGCGGGAGGGATCTATGCAGTATGCTTTGCTGACCAGCAGGTTATTTATGAGATGTTCTTATGATCAGGTGGTTTGGCCCTTTTTCTGGTGGAATGTCATTGCAGTGTCCCTTAGAACTTTGCCAAGCAAGATGTGATAGTGATGTTTCTTTAGCTGGGCCTTTGTCCGCCATGTGCTCAGGTGTTTAGGCAGGATGTTTCTCATGGCCTCAACCCCCATGGAATGTTTCACTTTGAACAAGGCCTTCAAAATAACAAAGAGCTTACAAAATGTTGCAGTCTGGACAAACACAGATGATACCCTACCCATGCTCTTCTCCTTTCCCATAGATCCCTACCCTATGGTTTCACCTCGTTTTCTCTGGCACAAACCCCTTTCCCAAACTGCCTTCTTTCTCACAAAGCCCTCCCTGATATCCAGTCTCTACCCTATTCACCCAAAATAATGGCTTTCTGGCCTCTGCCTGTTTCCTTAGCAGAAGCAAGAGACAGTGAAAACAGACTCAGCTCCTAAAAAATGTTTGAAAAAGACCAAAAAATCAAAATATTCAACAATATTAAAGATTTCCCCCAAGAAGGATGAAAAAATCAATTCAAATCAACCAGAAAAACACCAGTCTGAAAAGAAATCTGCTGATGCAATCCAAGAGAAGAAGGACACAGACCTAGACTCATCAGAGGGATCTTCACATGAGGATAAAGATGTAGACTTATGGCAAGTATCTTCAATAGACGGTGAAGACCTAGACGACTCCTCTGAAGGATGTTCACAGGACTGTCGGGAGTATTAGTCACACATGCAGAAGCCAAATTGGACAAATCATCACCACTGATGGCAATAATAATAAAATCAAGTGTGACGAGCTGACGACTGTGTATATTTCGTCCTGTTTTCTGGTGGTGGGGAGGATGGAAAGGGAGAAGTAGGCATTTGGTAAGGGAGGGGTGTGAGGTTCTGTAGGGTTGGTTGACAGACCCGCAGGTTGACAGTCAGCCAGACATTGTAAATAAGGACTAGGAGAGGTCTGATTATTGGAGAAAATTTTTCTTCCTAAAATTTTATCTCACAGGAGAGGAAGAAAAGGACTTGGTGTTTCTTGGAGCATGTGAATGTGTAGAAGGGCATATAAAAATTCTGTATTGGCTGGATGCAGTGGATCACACCTGTAATCCAAGCACGTTGGGATGCCAAGTCAGGAGGATCACCTGAGGTCAGAAGTTTGAGACCAGCTGGGCCAACATGGCGAAACCTTCTCTCTACTTAAAAATTACAAAAATTATCCAGGCGTGGTGGCAGACACCTGTAATCCCAACTATTTAGGAGGCTGAGGCCAGAGAATCACTTCAATCTGTGAGGCAGAAGTTGCAGTGAGCTGAGATCACACACTGCACTCCAGTCTGGGAGACAGAGTGACTCTGTCTCTAAAATAATAATAATAATAGTAATAATTAAAATAAAATA